GTTCTCTCATTAATTAACAAGTTAAGTGAAATCTTTGACATGGATTCATTTTACATTCGTATGGGAGTCATAATTTACCTTTAAAAAATGACAATTTTGGGGGGAAGGCAAAATGAGTAAAGGGGGTCAACTGTATGATGATGGATGGAAACTTAGTGGTAAGCGCGCTATAATGCACAAAGAAGTCAAAATATGACATTGTACACCTGAAACTTATATCATGTTATAAAACAATGATACTTCAGTTTTTAAGAAAAGATCCTTTAATACACTTAAATCCAAAGAGTCTAGTGCTGGGTTTCACTCAGCCCGGGGCCACCAGCCTAATATTCACAACACATCAAGACTCAATGATCTAAAAAAAAAAAAAAAAGACTGAATGATCTGATCACACTCTCTACTACTTCATTATTTGTGTGTTGATAACACATGCCCAGAATCACAGCTACAAGATGGGATCAAAGAAGAACACAGGCTTTCAGTTTAGAGGCTGATGCAGTTTTATCAAGACTGCTCATGAAGTCAAAGAGATACTGATTTTTCTAACACTGTTGTCAGTTAAAAGAACATATAGGACACCTGATGTATATTTTTGAGCCCAAGATAGGGTTGTGCTTATAGAATCTTAGCATTTTAAAACAGTATAGAAAACTTAGAAATCATCTAGTTGAAACCCCCATTTTACATATGAGTTAAGCTGGTCAGGAAAGCCCTACACTCAAGATCAACAACTAATTAACTGCAAGCTGAGATATAACCCAGCATTTTCCTTCTTAGTCCCATACTTGTTCAACCAGCAGGAAGCTGGAAGCAACCAGAACTTCACAAGAGATTCCTGAAAATGTTACCCATACCTTCTTTCCTTCTTCACACATAAACACTCTGAAAAAGAAAGGGAGAGGTGGTACCACTGAGGGATAGTATGTGATAAGGAAAGAGCTTTGGGTTCAGAAATAGTCGTGGTTTTTCATCTGGTTTTACTACTTATTTGTATTTGAGCTTTAGCATCTTCATCTGCACAGTTAGCATAAACTATTATTAAATAATAATAAGTGTCCTTACTGGATTAATAATAACCAGTATAAAGTACCTGGTGTACAGTAGATGTTCAATAAGTCACAGCTTCATTTCATTGAAGTATAATTGCTTTACAATGTTGTGTTAGTTTCTGAAGTACAACAGTGAGTCAGCTGTATATATATAATATCTCCCTCTTGAACCCCCCTCAAACCCACAACTCTCCACCTCAAAATCACGGCTTTTATTAAATTGTTGCAAAAATATATTAAAGTAATAATCTTGTTGTTTAGCTGCTAAGTTGTGTCCAATTCTTTGCAACCTCATGGACTGCAGCATGCCAGGCTTCCCTGTCCTTCACTATCTCCCAGATTTGGCTCAAACTCATGTCCATTGTTGGTGATACTATCCAATCATCTCATCCTCTGCAGCCCCCTTCTCCTATTGCCCTCAATCTTTGCCAGCATCAAGGTCTTTTCCAATGAGTCAGCTTTTTACATCAGGTGGCCAAAGTATTGGAGTTTCAGCTTCAGCATCAGTCCTTCCAATGGATATTCAGGGTTGATTTCCTTTAGTGTTGACTGAGCTCCTTGTAGCCCAAGGGCATCTCGAGCATCTTCTCCAGCACCACAATTCAAAAACATCAATTCTTTGGTGCTCAGCCTTCTTTATGGTCTAACTGTCACGTTTGTACATGACTACTGGAAAAACCATAGTTTTGACTATATGGCTTTTTGTCAGCAAACTGATGTCTCTGCATTTTAATATATTGTCTAGGTTTGTCATAGCTTTTCTTCCAAGGAGCAAACGTCTTTTAATTTCATGGTTGCAGTCACCATCCACAGAGATTTTGGAGCCCCAAAAAATAAAATGTCACTGCTTCCAGTTTTTCCTCTTCTATTTGCCATGAAAATAGAAGGGACCAAATGTCATGCCATAAAAACCCCCTCACTCTTTGAGGAATGCATGGTTGACAGTACTGACATTTTCATAATTTAGTACTTTCATGTGTAAATGAAAGTTACACACATATCCACATATAGCTGTCTGCTTAAAAAATCCATCTTTATTGAACAGACAATTGGCAAACATAAACCAACTCCACACAAATACCTCCCACTGTTTCATTTGACTGCTTGAAAATAATGCTTATGTCTTTAGACATACTTGGCTTATTTTCAAACTGCCTAAAATGAAACATGAAACATTGTATTTTTAAAAGTATGTTAGGCCCTGGAGTATGAGACAATCCAAGCGAAGGCATAGCTCTGTCTGCCACTTCCTTTACAAAAGTGATCGGCCCCTTGGAGTGGTAATTAATCAAGGTTCATCCTTATTGCTAAAAATAACTTTAATATTTCATAGTAAACACAGGCTTTCACATACTATATAATTTTAAATGTTCTTAGCCAATTGAAGAGAGGATGCTATGTCCTTCCTATGGCAACAAAAGCAGGGTTAGGAAAGATATCCAGACATACTGGCTCACTGGATGATGAAATTTATTTTGCTGCTGTATTAGTTTGCTAGAGCCGCTGTGGCAATGTACCACAAAATGAGTGGCTTAAAACAACAGGAATTTATTGCCTCACAGTTCTGGAGGCTGGAAGTCTGAAAGTAAAACGTTGGCAGGGCCATTCTCCCTCTGAAGACACTAGGGAAGGATCTGTTCCAGGCTACTCTCTTAGCTTTGAGTAGGTCCTTAGTTTATGGCAGTCTAAGTCCAATCTTCATAAAGCCTTCTCTCCCGAGTATGAGTCTGCTGTCTGCATCCAAATTTCCCTTCTTGTAAGGACACTAGTCATTGGATTTGGTCTCCAAATGACCTCATCTTTATTTCATCATCTGCAAAGATCTTATTTCCAAATAAGGTCAAATTCACAGGTACTAGGGGTTACATGACTTTTCGAGGTACACAACTCGATTTGTAATAATTGCCATGTCTTTCCTCCTTTTAACCTTGTCAAATACACTGGTGACAAACAGCATTCATTCATTCACTCATTCATTCAATAAACATTTGACTGTGTAGAAATATATTCCCTAGCTCAAAGGTGTTGTAGTGAGCAGCAGATTCTAAACAGCATTTATAGAGCGAAAAATAGCACGCATAAAGGTTAGGAGACACATCGTGAACTCCAAGAGGGCTTTTCTCTTCCTCTCTTTCTCTGTGTACCTCCAGTACTTTGAATAGTGCCAGTTTCATTCAATAAGTGATTGTTGAATGAACATAAAGTTATTGCATGCCTAAGGAACAGCGATTCCCTTGTAGCTCAGTCCCTAAAGAATCTGCCTGCAATGCAGGAGACGCAGGTTCGATTCCTGGGTGGGAAAGATCCCCTGGAGAAGGAAACGGCAACCCACTCCAGCATTCTTGCCTGGAGAATCCCGTGAACAGAGGAGCCTGGCAGGCTACATACAGTCCATGGGGTCGCAAGAGTCGGACACGACTTAGCGACTAAACCAAGGAACAGCCAAGCCTGAAGTTCATTGTCCTTAGGGGGGTAGGCAAAGTCCCCATCGCAAAGAGTCCTGTAAACCGCACTAGGTTAAGAAAGGAAGGCTGACATGTTGACGACACAGATAGTATTAAGGAATTCCAGGGTTGCTGGCACCACCCTGCCAATTAATCCTCTTCCCCAGAGCTCGTACAACGATCCAGCACCGCTAGGGCCACAAGAATGAGAAGGGAGCCAGCTCTATACACTTCAAAATAGGGTTGGGTTCTCCAGTTAAAGCTGGATGGAAACACATGTTTTGGGCTCTAAGTCTATGCAGAGGCTCCTACTCCGCTCTTTCCACTCCATCCTGCCCTCACTCATTCCCCGCCGGATCCCCGCTCCGACTCCTGGAAGACACCGTGATGTCTCCACGGCTTCCGCCAACCCCGCGGGAGGAATCCCCGAGCGCTCTCCGGTTCGCCGGCCCCGCCCTCCTTGACTCCGAAACGCAGCGAGAGCGCACGCGCGCCCTCACGGGCAGAGCGCGCGGTCGCAAGCTCCCCGTAGCCCCGTGCTCATCCGGGTCTCCGCGAGTCTCAGCCAATGGTGGACGTTCACAGCCCTCGAGGGCGGGGCTAAGCCTTCCCTCACATGGGGCCTCGGCTCACTCTGGGCGCTTTCAGGCAACCGCGATTTGTCGGCCGAGAAAAGGGACAGAAGCAAAGTGTCTAGCGTCTGGGAGAGGATCGATGGTTTTGACATGGAGCAGCTGCCTCCCCCTAGAAGCGACTGAAGTGCAAGCTGATTCCCCAGTCAGAGCCGCTGTAGTAAACACACTTCAGAAACGTGAGGTGCCGGTGGTCACGTGGGGAATGCGCCCTCCAATGAGGAGCCGAGGGCGGGGCTGAAGCCGCTGACGCGGCGGTGGCGGCGGAGTCACCCGGGCAGCCTCGGGACGGGTCACCGGCCGGCAGCCGTCCAGCGGCCTCGACCACCGCCTTGCGTGCTCTGTCCTCGCTTCTCTTACCCGGCCCGAGAGGCAGCGTGGCCGACATTGACTGAAGTCTCTCTCATCCCTGTTGGTGGCTCGCCTCAGGCGGGGCCGTCTGCTTCTCAGGGGCCGCCTCGGTGGGCGAGGTTTCCGTGCAGAGAACCTCTTGGGGCTCCCCCCCGCGCGGGCCGTGGTGGAGTCTCGGGCTTGTGGAACTTGGTCAGCCTCCGGAGATCCGGGGACCTCGAAGTTATGCGTCCTCTCCAGTCGGTGGCGGCGGGTGCCGGCTCCTAAAGGGCGTCACACCAGGACTCCGCTGACTGGGTAACCTCCATTCATCTTCCAGCTGCGCCGCCAGCGTCCTCTCCCTCTCCAGTCCCCTCCTCGGACTCATCTTTTCCTTCACCTCCTCTGCTTTCTCACTTCTTGGGTGCGGCGATTCTCCTGCGATCGGAGGTGTAGGTTATGAGCCGGACCCTCCTACCCTGAATTTCTCCGCGGAGGAGCTCGGCGGCGCCGCACCGCGCCCCTCTCCCACCCCCGCCCCCGGGATGGGGGTGAACGCAGTGCACTGGTTCCGAAAGGGGCTCAGGCTTCACGACAACCCCGCCCTGAAGGAGTGCATCCAGGGCGCCGACACCATCCGCTGCGTCTACATCCTCGACCCCTGGTTCGCCGGCTCCTCCAACGTGGGGATCAACAGGTGGCGGTGAGTCAAAATCCTGTGGGAAATTGATTTCGCTGTTTGATGAATCAAGACTTTACATGCCATCAGCCAGACTGAGAATTGAAGTCTTGCACCGCCTTGCCGTACTGTTTTAATTATTGCGGGTGCTTTAAGTATTAAGTAGAACGGACGTAATAGCCCTGAGGCGAGAGAGTTCCGGCAGCCTCACACCTTGGCCTTCAGGTGTGAGTTACGTGTCTCTGCGCTCGTAGGAATTCTTCCCCTGGATTTATGGAGAATTCTTAGTGGTGGAGCTAAAGAAACACCCTTCCAGTTCTCAGTGGCGCGTGTGTTGATTTCCTTGGCCTCTGTGGCGTTTGGGATTGCGGTCTTCAGTGTTTACGTTTGTGTGTTAACTCATAGTATGGAGAAAATCGTTCATTCAGTAGAGTCCCCTCCAAATCTAGTTTTCTTCCACCTTGAGGTTGCCAGAGGAAAAGCAAGGGAAACATTTCTTTGCTCAGCTCTTCCTCTCAGCTCCTCCTTGTGGTTGACTACACAAAGCACAGTTTTTCTTTCTAGGCAAAGTATAATCCTTCCAGGATTTAGAGCACTGGAAGAAACCTTAGAGCTTTGTGATCTTTTCCTGAAATGCCAGGCCAGATGATTATTAGGCCCCGTGGTGGAAATGAAAGCATTCTTTCAACAGAGTATTGCTCACCTACTGTATACCAGGGCTTCCCTTGTGGCTCAGCTGGTAAACAATCCCTCTGCAAAGCGGGAGACCTGGGTTCTGTCCCTGGGTTGGGAAGATCCCTTGGCAAGGGGAAAGGCTACCCACTCCAGTATAATGGCCTGGAGAAATCCATGGACTGTATAGTCTTTGGGGTCGCAAAGAGTCTGACACGACTGAGCAATTTCACTCACTATCACTCACTGTATACCAGCCACAGCTTTAAACACCAGGGATACAGTAGTGAATGAAACAAAAGAAATTCTTGTCCTTTTCTAGCACATGTGCCAGAAAGTATGTAGTAATGTAGTGATGATAAATGATGTGCGGAAATACAGCTTTTATGTGTACAAGAGAGTGGGATTGGAATCGGGAGTTTAAAATATGGTGATAGGGAAAAACTCAGAGAAAGAGACAGTTGAGCAAGATGATGAAACAAGTAGTAGATTACAGATATCTAGGGAAAAGCATTCCAGGGAGAAGGAACTGTAAGAAAAAGGGCCTGAGGTGGAATATGCTAACCTTTGGAAGGAACAGCAGAAGAAACCGATGTGACTGGAACAGAGTGAGAGGATTAGTAGTGTATGAGGTCAGAGATGTAATAGGGCCAGACTGAGTAGAGCTTTATAGGCAATTGTCAAGATGTGGGCCTTTACTCAGACGAAAGTGGAAATAATTGTAAGATTATGAGCAGAAAAGTGATATGGTTTGACTGAAGTTTTTTTTTTTTAACTTCTCTGGCTGTGGTTCTGAGAACAGGCCCAAATTATGGGGGTGGAGGTGGACAAGAAGCAATAAGACAGGTTAGGAGTCAATTGCATTCATCCAGGTGAGATATGATAATGGCTTGGACCATAGTGATTGTGGTGGATGTAGGGAGAAGAAGTCAAGTGCTGAGTATATTTTGAAGGCAGAATTCACAGTATTTATTGACAGGTGTGGTGTGAGAGAAAGAGAAGGAATTAGGAATAATTTCAGAATTTGATTTGAGAAACTAGAAGGGTGGAACTGATTTTTGCTAAGTGGTCAGTTGAAGAAACCATTGAGAGGGTGATTTGAGTTTTCTTTTGAATTTGGTTAGTATGAGATGTTTATTACACATCCAAGTGGAGATAGCAGATAGATATGTCTAGAGTTAAGGTTAGAGATCCTGGCAGGAGGTATACATTGGAGATTCATCACTTTATAGATAACATTTAAAACTATTAATCCATTCATTTATTGACCAAATATATGGTATGCATCTACTATGTGCTAGACACTTTTAGGTGCAGGGCATTTAAACAGAATAGCTAAAAAAATCTCTGCTGTGTTGAAGCTACATTCTAGTAGAGCTGTGAGACTATATGAAAACATTATGAAAATTTGTGTAGATAGAAAAGAACTGAGCCCTGGGTACTTGAATGTGTTTAAATTGTGGACCTGTGGAAGAAGTAGCATAGGAGTCTGAGAAAGAACATCTGGTAGGATAAGAAAACCTGAAGATAATGGTGTCATAGAAGCCAAGTAAAGGAGAGTGGCTCAAAGAAAATGTTTGACCTTTGTCAAGTTGCTCATCATGTGAGATGAGGACTGAAAATTAAAAATCATATTTAGCATTTTGAGATCATAATCTTGACTAAAGGGGTTTGCAGTAGTGTCAGGGACAAAAGCCATTTTGGACTGGCTTGAGAGAGGCTGAGAGGAGAGAAGGTAGGGATAACTCACATAGATGGCTCTTTTAAGTTTTCCATTGGGGGGATTAGAGAAATGGTGTAGAAGAAGGTGAGCTCAAGATTTTTTTCTTTTAAGATGAGAGAAATTACAGGATATTTGTGTGCTCATGGGAATAATACAGCAACTGTATATAAAACATTTTCATTAGCAGAATTGGTGTCATCATTGATTCTGGAAAAAGATAATACATGTTATATATTCTAATCTATTCCTATCTTAACAATAACATAGTAATAAATCTCTCTTCATAATATTGTAAGGAGAATTAAATCAGTTAAAAGTTGTAAAATGCTTAAAACGTGAGTGGTACTAGGAAGTGCTTATTTGCTGTTTGCTCTTAAATTGAAAGTCCTCGGTAAATAATATCTACTTAAATGCGTACAGTCAGTTTCTTCTAGAGTTAATTCAAAAGTTTATGACATCTAGACTATTGAGTCCTGTAAATTAGGGGTTGTGTATTGCTTAACTTTGTACACCCAACAACTCACATTGCTAAATAGTGAGTACAATAAAACTGATAGGTATAGGAATCCCTTGGACAGCAAGGAGATCCAACCAGTCCATCTTAAAGGAAGTCAGTCCTGAATATTCACTGGAAGGACTGATGCTGAAGCTGAAACTCCAATACTTTGGACACCTGATGTGAAGAACTGACTCTTCTGAAAAGACTCTGATGCTGGGAGATTGAAGGCAGGAGGAGAAGGGGACAACAGAGGATGAGATGGTTGGATGGCATCACCGGCTCAATGGACATGAGTTTGAGTAAGCTCTGCGAGTTGGTGATGGACAGGGAGGCCTGGCATGCTGCAGTTGATGGGGGTCGCAAAGAGTTGGACACAACTGAGTGACTGAACTGAACTGATAGGAATCCCATATTTTCCTTTTTAAAAAGGATTTTTTTTTACTACTAAATATTGCCCTTGATGAGTAATAGATAGGTAAAGGTGTAAATAATGAATAGAGACAGACTTTCTTCCACTGACGGCTATGTAAAAAGGGACAGAGTTTTAGACTTTTCTCAGCATCAGATTCAGTGGTTTCATATAGTGGTAACTCAGTTACTGTTTGTTAATGAAATGACATCCTGGAGTCAACAGTTTTATGTTTAAACAACTTTGCTACCTTACTTAGAGACCGTAGAATAAGGTGCAAACTCCTTAACTTGGCATTCAAGCTATCTTGTGGGTTTTGGTCTTCTTTCCTTTGTACCATTTCCTTTGATTAACAAAATTTCCTAGATTTTTGGATTTAACATAAAAACAAATTTTAAAAATCTTTTTTGCATAAGAAGATTAACAAAAGTATCTTTTGATGTTGCTATAATTTCATTTTAAAAGGGTACTTTCTAAAGCAACTAGAGAAAGAAGAACAAGCAAAACCCAAAGTTAGCAGAACAAATAAAATCATAAAGACCAGAAATAAATGAAATAGAGACTAAGCAACAGAAAAGATCAATGAAGCTAAAAGGTAATTCTTTGAAAAGATAAATGAAATTAGCAAACATTTAGCCAGACTCACAGTATATTAAAAAGAGTAGACATCACTTTGCTGACAGAAGTCCATATAGTCAAAGCTATGGGTCTTCCAGTAGTCATGTACAGGTGTGAGATTTGGACCATAAAGAAGGCTGAGTGCTGAAGAATTGATGCTTTCGAATTGTGGTGCTGGAGAAGACTCTTCAGAGTCCCTTGGACTGCAAGGAGATCAAGTACTCAATCCTAAAGGAAATCAACCCTGACTGTTCATTAGAAGGACTGATGCTGAAGCCAAAGCTCCAATATTTTAGCTATATGATGTGAAGAGCTGACCCTGATGCTGGGAAAGCTTGGGGGCTGGAGGAGAAGGGAGTGACGGAGGATGAGATGGTTGGGTGGTATCACCAACTCAAAGGACTTGAGTTTCAGCAAGCCTGGTGTGCTGCAGTCCATGGGTTGCAAAGAGTTGGACATGACTGAGCAACTAAACAGCAACAACAAACCAGACTCATCAAGAAAAAAAGGGAGAGGGATCAAATCAGTAAAGTTAGAAATGAAAAAGGAAACATTACACCACAAAAGTACAAAAGACCATAAGAGATTACTACAAGCAACTATATGCCAATAAAATGAACAGCCTAGAAGAAATTAGCAAATTCTTAGTAAGGTGCAAATCTCCCAAGACTGAACCAGAAAGAAATAGAAAGTACAAGCAGACAAGTTATAAGTACTGAAATTCAGTCATTGATTAAATAACTCCCAATAAACAAAAGTCCAGGACCAGATGGCTTCACAGGCAAATTCTATCCAACATTCAGAGAAGAGTTAACACTTATCTTTCTGAAACAAATCCAAAAATCTGGAAGAAACACTTCCAAACTCATTCTGTGAGGCCACCATCACCCTAATACCAATCAGAAAAAGGGACCACAAAAAAAAAAAAGAAAAGAAAAGAAAATTACAGGTCAATATCACTGATGAACATAGATGGAAAAATCCTCAACAAAAGACTATCAAACTGAATCCAACAAAACATTAAAAGGATCATATGCCATGATCAAGTGGAATTTATCCAGGGATGCATGGGTGTTTCAGTATCCACAAATCAATCAATATGA